GTTCAGCAGCGTACTCGATTGAAAAAAGTACATGAATGTGATGATAGGTTCATTATAAGCGAAACCTGAAATAGTATTTCTTTAACCTGTATGCTTGCATGGATTTGTTTGTTTACAGCCAAATACATATGCTAAAACTACTAACACTCGTACAAAACACGACACTTATATCATGGATGGATAGATGCTGCACTATGAAAGGACGATAAGAATCGCTAAAATAATAAGCTGCTATAGTGATTATGGTAATAAGGTAGTGCTAAAACAAGTATCATATGAACAACAAAAATTTAGCTTATCACAGCAAAGTGATGACTGTAAGAATTAGTTGCGTGATTGCTGCTTGTTCGTTGATATTGGATGACGATAACACGTTCTCAACAAAACTAAACAACAATCAAATCACTACAAGAAACAAGCAACAAAACCTTTTAAATAACAATACAACCAACTACTCAACAACACAAATACACAAATCACACTCTCACTTTCGTTTGTTATCTTTATCTTTTTTTTCGTTCCTTAGAGTTTTGTTTCCGTTCGCTCATCCTAAATCCATCTTTCAAGAAACACATAGCAAATTTTTTGTCTATTTCACATTCTTCTCTTCGTTTTGCTATTTTCATCATTCATTTTTTTTATTTGTTTCATTCTTTTAAGTCCCTTCCTTCTCAATTACATCGGTGAACACAACGAACGAATGAACGACAAACGAACCAAGCGTATCAGGATACGAAAAGATATGTGAATGGGAGTATATAAAGTATGTTGCTTCATACTGAATGTATAGGATAGATAGAAGACGGATATTATTCGACGAAGAAGATGAGTAGTTAGTTGCTTAAAAAATGAGACGTTGACTTGGATGCTTTGTTGATAATTCAAATTATGAGTTCAGCGGTTTGTTTGCGTTTTATTATTCATTGTTCACAAAGAAATTTATTGCACATTGTTAAAGTGTCAAATTCAATATCATAATTAAACATGTTCGTATTCAGTTTTACTTGTGCACATAAAGAAGTATGTACTTCATTTGACCAGATCAAATCAGAGAATGGGAAACGTCTGTGGACAAAATTTCTGCAATGCATCATCCAGTTGATAAGGTGCATTTATTTATCATTATTATGAACCAATTTCATTTATCTACAAATTCAGTTTAATCAACTCATGCGCTGTATGTATACTTAAAATTCTTTCGCTAATTCAACATTTAAAGCGTCTAATATAATGGATATGTACATGCATATATACAAATCTATACACTCAACAAACAGCTGTTATTATCCCATCCATCTCTATACAACTATAACATCCTTTTCCCTCATTCAATAAACGAATGCTTTCGTTCATTGTTGTGATGATATTCACCATTATTATTATCACTATCATTCTATATTTCCAACCATGACCAGGATCTTACGTACTGATGTGATTGCTTCACGCACAACCAACTTCACAATAATACGTAACTCATCAAATATTCTCCACAAATCAATCACAAAGCTTATCTAGTTTCGACTCGAAAACATTAATAAGATTTTAAAAAACTGCAATATGGATAACAATGAGACTAAATGTTGGAATAATATCGATAACATCATTCTAGTCACTGTTGCCAGCAGTAAGACAATTATTAAGGATATTCACAAAGGATCTACTCCTCATAAGTTTACTGTTAACAAAACGGTTTTTGAATTATTTTCGGCGAGAAACGCAATATGCTCAAAGCAGAACGCATAAGTGATAGTATCGTTTAATTTTAAGAGAAACGCATCAAAGAAGATTAAGTAACCACATTAACTACTTGTGTCCTAAAATCAGATAGAATATGCAAAGTTTCTTTTGAGGAAAAATTTCAATTGAACAAGACATAAGGAAAAAGGACTTTTCTGAAGTACGATCAAAGACCACCCAACCCGAATTTTCCAGCGAAAAGTTCACTTGCTTATTCTTCGGAAGGATATCGCGTACAAATAGAAAGACTGATAGATGATATACGTGGTGCTAGAATCGGAAATAAAAATTATTGTAACTCCCGGGCTGTTCATATTGAAAGTTCACAAAAAAACGAATCAATATTATATTTGAAAACAAAAGGAAAAAGTACATCTCACACCAACAATTCTTCATAAAAATCGGTGCTACCATAATATGAAATCTGTCTGAATTGATTTTAGTGGATGACATTTTTTGGCTTGTTTGGAATCAAAATCACCCGAACTTTACATTAAAGCACGGTTATGATGCAGGATTCACGCTAAAGAAAGAACAAGAAACAAACTGAATCTGGACTGAAACGAGAACAAATATTGAAGAAAATAAAAACAAAAAAAAAACTCAAAGAGATGACACTAACGTCGAGATCTTCACTCGATGAAACAATGCTTCGTATCGAGTCGGCACTACTCGGTAGATCGCTTCCACCACTGTCTTTTGAAATACGTTCTATTGATGACACAACTGATGCTCGTGTTCGGCTATTCGCTGGTAAATGTCGCATATCTGTGGTATGACAGCATGAGTTAACACATACGATCATATCATATATCTGGCAGCAACAAAGAGTAAAACAAAGGTAAGCGAAAGAAATAGCAAAATGAAATAAACAAACCCAAATTAGCAGTCATCAGTCCCTGCATTAATTCTCGAATTTTCTTCACCCAATGTACTTTGCACTGTTCATTTGCAGCTTTTAATTCAGTTCTTAATTCGCTGCTCGGAACACTACCTTGCCGCAATGCGAATTTACTCGGATCACCCTCTACGTGCTCACAAACATTGATTTCACCCAACTAAACAAACCAAAATTTCATCAGTACCGTTCCTCCACATAACAATAATGATAACGACATCAACAAACAACCGCAGATATGATAACAGTGGTGAAGTGACATTTAAAATGTTTCTTTTTAAAACGATCATCATTCATGAACATTTTACAACAACATCATCAGTATCAATCTGTGATGAACCATATACCCACAATATTAGAGACCGTCCCGTTCTTTGTATTGTATGGGCAAAAAACAACTCTCGTAATCAAGTTTGAACCGAGCAGATAAATCAGTTAGCTTTACAGACGGAACGAGAAAACATTGGACAGGATGTGTCCATGTAATTAAATGATGAATATTTGGACTCTATGATGGCAAATATTCATCTTCTTATTCACAACAAATAAAATAATTATTAACCATTAATCGACTCTTGTAAACATATTTGACAGCGCGTGTGGAAAGTTCGATTTTCTTCGCGAACACAACACATAATTCGAACAGAAACACTTGACGCTCACGACCTTTCTTGAAATACGCTTTCGGATCCCATACAACGAATGACTCTTGCATAACAAAATCACCTAATACACCGAGTTCCTAAAATGTGATAACAATAATAACAATATTAATGATAAGCAACATTCACTGAATTAGAATAACAACAAATGCAACGTTGAATTCACCTGATAACCTTCGAAATTACCCAAATGCATAAGATCATTAGCTCGACGAGGAACACTCACGACAACATCATATGCCTCCTGCAAACGATTCCGACCTTATTTAATCATAGACTCGATTTATTTACAATCGAAAATGGCTTGTAGATGACTTCGAAACTGAAATGTGCTAAAATTAAAACATTTTCAATGATTCCTACCTTTATTTCGTCGACATTATTTTTGCAGTTTTTCACTAACTGCTCCAGCATAAGGCGATAACGTGTTATCCTCTGCACTGGCTTAATAATAAACGACTGCAGATTTTGGTTGTGTTCTAAAGAATTTTTTTCTCGAATTTCCTGAAAGATAAAACAATTTTAAAAAAACACCAGCAGCTTTGATGCTACCTTTCCGGATGAAGATCATGATCACAGTGATAATTCATTTTTTTAAATATATGTTCGTTGATTTTGATAGATCTAAGTTCACGAACCCTCAGTTCTTTTCCGTTGTTTCAATTTTCAGTCGTCAAGTCTAATAAATTTGAAATGATCTGATGAATATTTCGATTAAAATGGCCTCCTCAAAAGAATATTTATAAACGAACCGAAAAAAACTGCACAGCCTCCGGCAATGTTATCAAATAATTATTCTGTTCCATATTGACACAGTATTCTATGTAAAGTGAATTGAGCGTCTCCACCGAAAAAATGAAACAGTAGCCAACATCTTCCGGATCGTTTTCGTATTTGATTAATTCTGGCAGAAATACTCTAAAGAATTTAAAATATAAATCAAAGGCTACAAATAAAACTGGTATTGAATTCACTGAACACAAGCGATGTGAACGAAAGCCTAAAGAAATAATTTTTGAATGGTCGTGTTTATGGTAATGACAGTATATACTTAAAAGGAAAATCAAAAACAAATGAATTACGAATGTGATTTATGTAAGGCAAGAAAATACTTAAATGTTTCATAAGTCAGTGAAAACAAACTCGCTATGGAATTTATACAACTGCTCCATATTGCCGAACAATTCACGTTCTTTGTTACGTAAAGTTGCCGGTATTGAATTACCAGCATTTCGATACGCACTTAAATAATATGAAATACAATTGCGCATATCTTCAATATAATCCTTCTCGGATTTGATCAATTCCATCATCGGTTCTCTGAAGACAGGTATAAGAACATCACAATATTGAAAACAATTAATTTCATTCTATTGAGACTGATATATGCCTTCGGCATGATTGGTATCCTATCACCACTCATATAATTCAAGCGTTTTTCATGCTGCAAACTTTAACAAATATCCATAAATATGCTATTACAAGCCGAAAAAGCACTCTTCTTAGTTATAGAGCTAACGGCAGCAAACCAAACAAAATTCTCAATTGATAATGATACCTTATCTTGCGATCGCCTTCAATTTTGGCCTCTAAACTTGAATCGCTCTGTCGATCAAGGGATAGTTCATCTTTCTAGAACAGTAATCGAGCAATTTTATGAAAAATAGCGTATTTAGTGCTTTCGATAGAGTATGTCTAGTTCATGCGAAGAAAGGTTGAGTATCGTTTTTTTTGGTCATATCAAGCTGAACTGAAATATTTGTAATCATGCAATGTTTAGTTCGAAGTTGTTTTAGATGCAAAATTTCTCGAATTGACCACCTCAAATAAGTTCAAAATATCTTCGGTTCCAAAATGAAATCGACGATTCACTAACATTGAAATAATGATGCATAACAACCAGATGAGATAAAACAATAAAATATGGTATTTCAGAAGACAATTAAAACAAGTCAAATGAAAAAAAAACGATAAAAGTATACCGCTTTACAAAATTCTGGTTTTCGTCCAATCATAGTGAATAACAGTGTTTCATACTCAGCGAGATGTACTGAGAAGTGTTCAAATTTGGTGCGAACAGAATGCATCCAACGTTCAACATCATTTGTATGCAACTGATCTTGTGCTCCTTTCAGAAATCCTTCGGCCAAATGAAGCATTGTCCGAACTTTTGCGCGTTGTTGCTGAACGGAACGCAAAATTACCACTGATTTCCTTCGATCTGATTGGTGCTTTAATCTAGGCGAACGAAGCGACCTTCACCCGCCTACATCGCTCACGAAACGTTACGCGATGAATTGGGAGCTAACGGCTCTAAGGTCTCCCCTGTTCATCATTTGCCCAGAATCCCACAAATAATCAAATCATGTTGCAACAGTATGTACATACTGGTAATTTTGTGACAATAAAAGCAATACTCAATCTTACATAGAGCAACAAAAAAAAAGGAGAAACAAAATGAATTAATGAATAACTTTTGCATCAACTTTGAATGTTGTGTATTCTTCCAAATAGGCATCCAACTGTTCATGTGTTGCAGTTCGTATTTGACGTTCACTGCATCGATTCAAGAACGCCTCACCAACACTGCTAATCCATTCCAAATTCTAGAAGAGCAAAATGAAATGAAAACAAAACGTTATTACGAGCAATTCATTTTTTTCTGCAATTAATAATTATTTCTAATGCCTAATCACATAGTTTCGTTTGCCTTTTCGGTGAACCTTTCTTGCAATCACTTTTACGTATCTTTCGATCCCAAGAAACTGCCTTATTTTTCAAAAATAGTCACTCAAGTTCTAATTCCAGTAGCAAAAATAAAATAACTAACTTGTTTGGCGGTGGCTTCTAAAAGGACCGATTGATGACAACGATCCAGTTGTTGCTTTTTACGTGTCCATAAATCCAAAATTTTTTGCTGTCGTTCACGGAGATCCCTTTTTCTAGCCAATATACGAGTCTCATGCTCATGCACATGTTCTGCCGGTGCTTCACATCGACGTATGTATTTCAGAAACAGCTCCGAAGTTTTCTGTGCATACGAACATCCCTGAATTAATGACAATGGATTGATTCACTGCTGATAGCCAATTTCATCAAAACAATAACAATCGTACGTAATTATCTCATTAGTACAATTATGAACCGAAACTAACAAAAAAAAAACAACAAGCAAGTAAATTATAAAGCTAATGAGAATGAAACACCTTGAGGAATCGTTCCTTATAATCTCGATGTTTTGATAATAATTCAGCGATATAGCGCGCTCGTTCAGCATCACTTTCACCATTCTTTTGCATACACCAATCTTTAACAGATCCCGCGCTGTATTCTTTCTCTAACTGATCCAGTATTGGTGTAACCTGAAATCAATTTCTAATGAGACATCCAAAGAACCTCTGAGGAAAATTGGCAATAAAATTCAAACTAACTGAATTTGACTGATTGATCTGCACTGATTCAAAAAGTCAACTGATTGAGCTCAACTTAATTTTTCATTTGTTCATTCAAAAAAAACGAACACAAATTGTCGTGTACCGTTCATTACTGGATTGAGATTTGAGTAAAAAGGAATACCGAAAGGACGATAAATTATTTGCCTTCAACGTGTGAAACTGTCTTCATGCCATCGAATTTAATATTAAAACTGCTGCAAACTAAAATTAACTGAATAAAACCGAGAGCAAATGAAAATGCTAACGCCTTTTTGGAATGTTTTGTAGCAACTGATCGCCGCTTTGATAAGTTTGTTACGTTCTTCAGCGAAACCAACTAAACGCCTGAATCGCCCCATAACATTGTCATTCAATTCGTTTATGTCACGTGCATTCGCATCATAACTATTCAGCAGCTGCTCTGTCTTTTCGGCGAATGCTCTTGCAATATGATTCGTATTCTACAAAATATTATTAGAATGACAGCATCCATTACCATTAAGATCTGAATCACACTCTCAAATGAGTGATTCATTACCATATCTGAGTGAAATTATAGGGTTTTGTGTGCGGTCCACTCTTTCTTTTTTTGAGAGAGATGAAACTTATTTGGAGGGCTTATAATGGTAACATCAATCATACAAATACGTACAATAATTAAATGATGGTATGCAAATTGAATAATAACACATCATTTAGTTAGGGGTTGAGCTTCAGATTTCTAAGATCTCATTCTCAACTTAAGATAGGAACTAATCATAATTCAGGATGAAGTTAAGGTCGCCCATTCATTTTCTCAACCCGACTGAATATCCAACCTCGATGGTTTGTTGAAAATGTTTATGTGCAACTTGAGCAGCTAATGCTTCTTCGTAATTATACGGAATAAGATTCATTTTCAACAGCTTTTGTTCTTCTCTTTGTATGGTTATAATAACTTGTGATGCCTTGACGCGAGCACGATTCAACGCCATACACTGTTCAATACGCCATCTTGTACGAGTCGCCACCTTGAACATCAATCAATACGATTAATATCAAGAGAATAACTATATCAATTTTAATTGCACGAATCACCCACTTCCATAACTTCCGTTTCACACGCACATAACTGACTTATGCTATCAGCTATAACTTTTCTAACAGATACACCATCCGTACAAACCAAATTCACCTCACTGCCATTCACTGCCTGCAAAAAACGGATTATATAATATGAACCGAATAAGATGTGAATGCATCGAAACAAACATAACCTGGAGTAATTCACTAGCGTTATTCTTTATCTCCACAACGGCATTCTTGACCTGTGCCTCATTATCTTCTTGATATGGCAAAATATGTTGTGCACGAGTATCAAAATTTTCTGAATTCATCAGTGCAATCATATCATCTTGCCAATTCTAAAACAAATCAATTACATATTGTTCAAAACTTGGCTATCAGTTCGGTGAAATAAGATGGTGCTGAATGCGGTAATGACAAAGCTGATGCTAGCGTGCAGAATAAAGATGCTATTAAAAAAATGAAACAGAGCAGATATTGAATGAAGACAAATTTTTATTATGATGACCACCTTCATTTGCTGAGTAATTTGTGAGCAATCTTGCAAGAAAACAGCGAATTTCACACCAAGCTGTAACGTATTCCGTTGCCTTGGCCATCGTTCCACTAACTTCGAATGTCTCTGCTCAATATTTGCAATAAGCCGTTCAATGACATTCACCGTCTCATGATTATCAATGCTCATCATTTGGGCTTGCTGTTCTAATGCTTTCAGCAATAAACGTCCTTCGCTCATTGTTGTTGCATATGCCTTAATGTTCATTCTCCTTTCACTTATTTTCACTCTGTTCCAGGTATATACTTTAGCAAATTTACGAAAGCAGTTGATGATAATCGTCATCACAGCACAGCATTTTCTCATGATCCAAAATCCACTTCGCAATAACACAATCAATTTATGATAAGAGTTGACTGAAATGAATCGAGCACAACAAAATGCTGACGATAATTTATCAAATGATAAACCTGCGCAGTGCCATCACTTTCACTCATCCACTGCTCTTTACGTTTCTCCCCTTCTTGCACAGATGTTGAGATACGCTCATACAACGCGCTTTTGCTATCCATTTTCGTATACCATTCAGTTATTTCATTATAATGTGTATGGAATAATACTGATTTATTCAATAAATCACGTCGTTTTTCCACCTGGTAAATGAAAATTTTATTCATCCGCAGAGAAAATGGATTCGAATGAGAACTGCAAATAAATAAATAAATAAATAAATAAAATTATGCATTGAGAAAACGGAACGAAACAACCACCCTCTCTGAGAATGATTCAATGCGACGTCGTAACTCGTTCACCACTGCATTCATTTGTTTCGCATCACCTTCTCCTGAAATAAGAGCTTCTTATTTCTCAAGCGAAATCAAAAACATTCAGCAGCAGTAATAATCATGAAGATCTACAGTAACATTGTTAACAATAAAAACGGTAATCGCAATAAGTATAATGAGTATAATTCGAAGTTAAAGGATGCAAATTCAATCACATTAACTAAAAACTCACCCATTTCAATGATCGTATTTGAGGCTGTAAATAATTTTTCCGCATTCGAATACGTATTTGATGCTACCGAACGAAAATGAGTATGATTACGTTGCAGTACCTTCGCCTGCGCTAAATTCACACCAATTGCAGTATTTTTATTCAGATATGCATCACCGTGTTGTTCCAGCCATTGTAGAACCTGTAAATATTCACTGATATATTAGCATACGGGTTGTAACACAAAATTAATATCGTGCTTTTTACGAAACTGCATCGCATAGCGAATATAATCTCGACAGCAAACAACACATCATTCAAAATGTAGACTGCTCTCAAACCACTAACAACTAGTAATCAAGCAGAACAACAGATTCTAATAAAAATAAAAAGAATACTTCTTCGAAAACTGTCTCGTTGATAAATATATGAAAGACCAACATTAAGCACTGCAGACGCAAAAGCTGATCATATTTGATGCTATTGTAACTTTAAAAAGCATCTACACCGTTTTCAGTAACCTACGATTATGGTTAGATTCAAGTTTAAATTATGATCACATCGACAGTCAGCTGGATTATTCAACATTAATGTTCGATGAAGCAGTAGTAGTACTATTGTTTTTCTTTTTTAAGATATAAATATAGATGAAGACACTAACGCGGTGCGTATCCGTTTCAAAAGCGATCAATGCCAGTCGGGAATGCAATCGAAATTTTCTTCGTTGCCATTGTGCATTCAGTTCTTTATGAGCGCACATAACTTGCTGAATAATATCGACAACATGCTTGTAGGAATTATTTTGGCCAATCACTTCACCGCCCAACGCTTTCAGCAATTGTGTTAATAAACGTCCTTCATCAATCGCCTGACATCAGATATTTGTTGAAAATATTTAATTGTGCACTGATTCGATATCATCGATGAGATTCGAATTCCATTTTCGATATGAATATTCGTTTCAATAAACTTTTTTTTGGTTGAAATAATACCATATACTGCGAAAAAGGAATTAAAAAGTCGCCTGCTATTATTATCACCAATTACCACTCATTATTATCACTCACATCAATTATAATGTTTCATGCTTAACGAATGAAACTCGAAATCGTATCTGAAGAGGTGAACTAACTGAATGAGAATCCAACTCACCTCAGCATAAGTCTGAATAAACGATTCACCAAAATGTTCGTGTTCAGCAATCGTTGCTTCCAATTCATCGGCAGTACAATCAGATACACCGCTGCACGATTCAACATTTATCTTATGCATCCATATTGGGACGTTCGAAAGATACTTCAATTTTATCATATTTTACAATACATTATATTATTTTATATCAACGCATTTCCTTAAATAATCCATCTCCAAAATAATATATCTCTTCACCTTAACAGATCTTACCTTCAAATAAATAAGTTCACCTGCAAAGATACTCAATTCAAGCACGAATCCATGATTTCTTGTCATAAAAACACTTCAAATTGTTCTTCAAACTAAAACACACATCACTTTCTCCCCATGATGATTTATTCATTCACAAAAAGCTCCATTAACTGGCTTAAAGGAAATCTTGGATCGAATGGATACGATTGGTGGGATAAGCACTGACTAAAACTATGCATTCTGAATCAATACAAAAGCAAAGAACAGATTTTAATATGGTCATATAAATGAACAATAAGAGAATAGACGACGAAATAGAATGAAATGAAATGAGACTTGAAACAACTAACGATGTGCGATTTACGATGAAACGAAAGTGCTTTATCAAGGAGAAGAGTACGTTGATCAATAGCATCTTTGAATCGACGCCAATCCTCTTCTAGCCTTATTGCAACACTTTCAATTTGATTCTTACCATAATTACCCACTTCTAATAGACGTTTCGCAACACTCATAACATGCGATACATTTATATCCGCATTCTGAAACAACAATGATTTCGACAATAACGATTGCAACCAGCAAAGATTTAATCACAAATCGAGCATTAAGGATAATAACTGTAACAAAATAATGAAAGTAAGGACAAGAAAATAGCAAAATGAACTGCACCAACATTTGCGTTATTCGCGAATTCGCGTTGATCCGAAATCAATAAACTGGTCGATTGTTCAGAGTCACCGATTTCGAGGAAACGTTGCGCCAATAAAGCGAAGTGAACACGAATCCATTCGAACATCTCAAATATTAAATTTATTCAAATTGTTCAGCGAACGAAAATCCTAGTAATCGTCACTATAAGAACAAATTATTGCATTTCCACCACACCCCAACGAAATAAACTCTCTTTTCAATAATCCAAAAACAAATTCAATTATAGCTTTTTTTGAAACGATCGCTCATTCATATACAACGTATACAATCACGTTTAAAATCCATCACGAATTAATAACATAAATACCTTATCAGCGTCTTGTTCAAACAGCTTCAACTGATAGCAATGATCTAATTTCTGTCTTCGTGTTTCCCACTGCATGAACAGATCGTCTCTGAATACAAAATCAATAAAACTTTTCCGCGATTTATCGTGGATGTTTCTTTTATACTTCGATTGAAAAACTCAACGTCATCAACTGTTTCGTCTTAACAAATGTGAGCATATTGCAACAATCTTTTATATCACACAACTACAATAAACAATTATTTTATATTAAACTAAACTATTTTCTCCATTCTCAGATGAACAAATTATGAGAGAATCAATGTTGAATGACAAGAAAATTCAAAAATATATAAAAAATAAATGACTATTTTTCAAAAGTACTTGGATGTATGGAGTGATTCAACAAGAGATATGAGGTGAGGTAATGCTGCTGCAAGGTCTGGATTTGTTACCGTATTGGAAGAAGCACTCGATGAATTATAACCATCATCAGGTGTCAAACTGCCACTTCCAACTATTCGCTTATGTATCTACAAATCAATTAGCCAGTTCACATGCTAAATATTATTACTTCTTTTGAAAATCCAGTCACTTTTACTTCATCAACCAATAATTACTGGCTTACTATTAGACTTTACAATCACCTTCCAATTGTTCTGATGACGAAAATTAATATGTGAACAAAAAAGATTATACTTTAAGATTCAAAAAACGCGTTACATTTGCAGACACAGGCAACGAAGAAATAATTATGCGAATAATGATAAATATTATTATGGCATCAATAATAATACTTCTATAATGATGTAATTATTATCACTATTAAAACAGTGATTATATTAATGACAATAACAATGACATATAAACCTTTTGAGCTTCAAGTTTGAGCGTTTCAATAGGAACGGCAAGTTTCTTCTTGAGGGCGAGATGTGAGGCTGTTGCTCGTTCAGCAGTTGCAACGTCTATTGGCATCTCACCATTTTTCATTTCGTGACGATATGTTTCAAAATTCCGCATTACATCGATTATTTGCCATATTAATTTTTCCAATTCCTGTTTTTTTTTTGTTTATTTTAAATTTGAATTACTTCATGAACATCCTTCGACATATCATTTCTGATCACTTTACATCATAATAAAACAGACTGATTATGCAACACCCACCTCTGTTCATAAATGATAAATCATTCAAGAAAATCAACTGGTAATCGAGAGAATAAAATTGTGAGCACTCACCAATCTTGTTTCAAGCCATTCATCATGATCATAGAAGAGCGTCCCTCCAAGATCTCTAGTTAACTGTGTTGGATCAATGTAACGTAATAAGCCATCAACAGATATCATTTGAACTTCAAATTTATATTTACTTGTTGACACCGATGTTTTATGCTTTTCCCAAAAATTGTCTGGTTTTATGATCAGTACCACATGCACAATTGCCGGAAAATGCTCCTGAAAACCAAAGATTGATCAAAAAAATGAAGCGATTGCTCAATCGTTTACGAACATTTCGTTTGGGTGTTTCAGTTTATATTCTCATTCTACAACTACATTAATCAAGCATGCAAATGTTTAATAACAATGGGTGCTATTCTTCTTCCAAACATCTCATTAGTTTTATAATGCGCTTTCACCACCATCTACTCCGCGAGATCAGTAGCGATACTCCGACGACAATATTGATGAATTTGAAATTTCAAGCAAAACCAATTAATCTTTGAGAAAATGCAGAATAAATTGACCCTCTCAGTGGAGTTTGAAAAACACTGATCATACCGTAACCAGTTTGAATTCGTCAATGTATAATATTTGCTCGAGAATTAACAAAAAAGAAATGGATCACGAAGTAAACATATAAAAAGATGATATATCCTTGAGAATCTTCAAATCACAAACGAAATCAAAAACAATAATAAAGCAGAATAAAACATGAAAGACAACAAACCTGAATGCATTTGAGGATAGGTTTAACATTATTCCATGTGGTACCTTTACGCATATCAATTATAATAACGAATCCATGCTCTTTGAATTCATCACTACAAAGGAGAAACATCACTGAAGTAGATCTTTATTCTACTTTACTTGCAATTATGAAAAATTTCGATAACCAAAAGGAACATTTCGAGACGGCGAATGGATTATAAAAGCAAGAAACTAACGCTGTCACAGCATGAAGATAGAGCAGAATATTACGAATGTGATCCGGATTAAGTGGTGATGTGCTTTCACGTGATGGAAATACAATAACTGGTCTACCCTTCCGGTCACGACTGCCTGGTAACTGCGCTACGCGATCACGTAATACGTGCTTGATATCTTCTGCTTTTGGGCAACCATCATTATTGAATTCTTCCATTATTTCAATCCTTTTGCAACTACTTTTTCATCACACCATACAACAACATTTCTTACGGCTGTTTCGTTCTGTAATACTGCAGCTTAGGTTGCTGAAAGCAAAATAACGTTTGCATCTGCAACTGAATATACAACCTAACCATACAACAACTATGTTGAAAGATCCGCAGGAATGAAATACCGCTTAGATTTTCGCTACAAAATCACCTTTCTTTACTACTGCAAATTAATTTTTCCACTCGGAAATACATTACCAATATCACTGCTCAATCGCATATATTTGCGAGTTTTAAACTCAAGTGGCTATATCAATGCCATAATCCTTCCAGCAGAAAACAGCAAATGATAACTTCAAATTTTCACCCGCAAATTCTCAGAATAAAAATTTTGGAGACAATCTTGCGCTGACTGGCGCGATAGAACGCAATCTTTATAAACCGTCCTTTCATCATGTAATTAGTAACGATTGATAAGAATTTGATATGAATCGAACGAAGATCTTCTCACGCATTAATAATTGCAGAAATTCGAACATTTTAAAATCAAATGAATTTAAATTTGCAAAATCTAGTCAAACACCGCTGCAAAACTGAAGACATCATAAATGCATAAAGAAAACAAACGATATAATGGAATGAATTAATAAATTATTGAGGCAGCAATATTATCAATAATTCAAAATATGTAACCTTAAAAAAATTTTCTTGAATGACTGCACAAACAATAGCAATAAAAACTAGCAAATTTAACGACAACATTTCAGGTCCATTGGCGCATTGTTGAAAAAACTTCGCGCTTAGAAACGAACGCCAAAGTTCGGCACCGAACAAACGAACGTACGTCCGCCTAATGCCACCCAAGACGCTAGCATGTCTGCACTCTGGCCTCGAAATGCGTTTTATTAGCATTGTGTATAATTCAGCACTAAAAGTCGATTATTCAATCTACCAGTAGTGACTGACCAATACACATGCACTTGGAAATGCGTGAGAGCATATTATTGTTTGGCTGAATTTTGTGACGGAAGGAGACTCTGAGATAAGTGAAGGCATGGAGTCGGATGAGGTTCGATGATTCACGTATGAGTGGAATGGAATGAATGTTGACGAAAATCGGATTGTGCGTTTCATGTTCTGTTGAAATCTCCGTCAGAATCCGTTTTCAGTTTGCAAATTATGAGGAGCGAAGTCATGCTATGCTAGCTAAATAAGTAATGTTTTGAAACAGATCTGAATTTGTAGTAGTAGATCTACTCGTCCTCATCTATCTTCCGGTATATCCCAAGTTGATTCTAAGCACTTTTTCATTATTCCAAAGTAAATTGTCTGTCGGCAGTCATTGTTTTTTAAAAAATTAAGTTGCCTCTAGTTCTTTAAAGAATGGACCTATGAAGCGGAAATTTTAAGTCTAGATCCTATCGATTCAAATTGTTAAATTCATAGCTCTTAGAATACAAATTTTTGAAAGATATGATAAAGTTTAATCGCTGACATTACATTACCGTCGGTATTTCAGCTAAAAAATGTCTCTTGGTGTAATAACTAGGCAATAATAAATTACTTATTAAATTGAGACAATGTTATTAAATGATGCTGATAACAACAGCAACAACAAAAAAAGGAAACAGTGACAACATTAACAGTGAAAATAGCAGTAATAGTTAGTGGTAAGAATAATACTGATAACTAATCGACTTATTCATGATCATATTTTACACGATGGTTGGATGGGGCCGATGGACAGCCCTTTAAGAGGGCGAATATCTCAAACGAATGGTGACGGTGCGCGGGATGGTGATCAGCTTCAAACGGAGAAGAACAACGGACATTACCAACGTTTATTGAATCAACAATGACTTTATCACGACATTTCATCAAAATTATTATTTGTTACAAAAAAAACAACATCCGGTGTTCAGGCAACTTCATCACAGATCTTCTTCAAAACTTCTTTGCATTTATTCCAGGGCCTTAACAAATAAGCTGCGGTCGAATGACCACATATTTTTGATTTTCGTTTATTTGAATTTATGAAAAAGGCAATAAAATTGAGTTGTTGCTGTTGATTACTTTTTATGCGTTTCTTTATTTCTTTCATTTCTAAACATAACTGAATATGTAAATTTGATGTGTTTTTATGTAAAAAATTACATGAATATTTCATCACTTCTATTGAATTTATGTGTATATAACAATATCAACTGCACCCAATAGGAATGAACCCACCCAATAAGAATAGAATTAATTTTTTCATCGCGATCACCCCCTTCATTTCCCTCGGAGTGAACTGACTGTATTCTTCAACCATGCGCTAGGTTAAGGTTATGTGCTAATGTATAATGTTAGCTGGTTTGGAGCTTTCGCTGGTATAGTTTAGGCTAGGGACTTTCATCCTGACTTCGTCCGATGATTACCTCACATTAACCCATATAGCCGGAAACGTACTTAACTAATTCAACGTTGATATCAATTTACATGATCCTGACTTGTCCTAACTTTAGTTTAGAATTGATTTGTTCGAATTGGATGGAGCTTCACTTGACCTTTTTTTAGTACGTTGGTCACTTAAGTAGCTTCATTTTTAGTACGACATTGCTTGCCTTCATTTTGAGTTATCGTTGGTCACTTAAGAGCGAATCCGACTTGACTTTACGTGCACTTTGTGTCGACTTGGCTTGAGCTGACGTTGAAATTAACTCGACAAGAAACAGTTTGACTAAGCGTGAACCTAGTTTTCGACTTGACTTATATCTGCCTGACCTGCCCTGAATTTATTGATCTGCCATTAATCGATTACAGCAAAAATGAGCAGTGTCAAGCACATTCTCTTTGACGAGGACTCTGATTTCATCCCAGATTAAAATTGAAAGTTCAAACCATATCTAGTCACTGAATCGTGAAGCTGACTGCTTAGGGTCCATAACGGTGAAGCTTGATCAAGTCAACAAGTAATTTCCTTGAAATTGGTCTGACAGAAATACCCTATTTGAGTGTCTATATCTTGGTGAGTTTTGAACTTGAGCAGATCTTAGGGATGCAGCACAGAAAAGAGTTTGGCTTCCGTGTGTGTTCTCAATTGGAGGAAGCTAAGTGAACCCTATACTGAAGGACCTTTGTTTTGAAGGCATAAGTGTTATCCAAGAAAATGGGTGAGATAGCACATAGCGTAGGTATTTCATTATGAGATTAAAGTTTTGAATCTCAATGCTGCATAGTATGAAGGGTGTTATGGATGTGGTAGCAAGTCTGTGAAGCTGGACCAATCATCTTGAAGCGTTGAATTGCTGCCGGGTGATTCGAAGACACTCTCCCAAGCCGTTAGACTAATGTTGTTATGATGGATTGCATGATGCCAATAATCAAAGTAAACTGCAACGTTTTATTGCGTACATAGAAGTTCCCAAGCCGTCAAGCTGTCAACAAGCGGAGCTAGGTTTCGACCAATGTAGTAAGCGTTCCAGCGAACATCGGCAGTCTTGACGAATCGTGGAGAAACACCTTTGTATTCGCTAACAATGCTCACATTGGCATCCATCTCTGTAATACGATAATGGCGTTACTGGCCTGAAAAAGGCGTTAACTTGATCGGGGATTTGGAATGCGCGTAAGCTGGCCTGATTAGTGCCTTCGGGAATTTACTACGGCAACGAGCGTTACTGAATCCTCCATGAGCATTATCCCTTAACATAAGGGAATTGTGATGGGGTTGATCATTGGCTATACGCATGAAATTATTTCACATAGTTAAGATGTTATTGAATGCATGCAAGGGGAAGTCTCTTAGATTTGTGGCCATTCGCTGGAGCTTATCTATATTCCTCGTTACTACTGCACCCATACGACTTCCCCGATATTATCTTCATTTTCACTGTCAGCATAGTTATTATCAGTGATGCAGAATTTGAAGAAAATTGACACGACTTCAGCTCCACATTTTTCAGTTATCGGATTCAGCTCCGGCTCCGTATTTCCGAAAATTTCGACTCCAACTCCGCAATTTCCTTTGCTTCGTTCAGACTTCGAAAGAAAAATATCGTACAAGTTTTAGCCCGACTACTGAATGCTTTTTTGAGGAAGCCAGAGAAATTTTTTTGGCTGGGGAGATGCCAGAAAAACTTTTTGACTGGGGAGCTTAGACGTCACTGGCCATTATCTCTCGCTAGTGTCAGTGAAATAACTAAATAACGTTAAAAATTACCTGTAAATAAGAGAACACATTACTGGCTTGGTAGTAATTCACATCAGATCTGGGGAACATCACTTGTGCCTTGAAAAACTGCCCATGATCGAGGTCGAAACCCATGTTAAGGTTGAATGAGGTCTCTGGGATTTGAATGAGGTATCTAATGAGTAGAAGCTGGACTTCTCCCCAGACTGCTAGCACAAGATTTTTCCAGAATTAGAATCGGTAGAGCAATGAATGCTCGAGCTGAGATGATTTCGAAGAGTCAGGCTTGACCTGATCAAGTTAGATCTTCAAAATGTAAAAGAGTTGGAACCGATCGGGAGCCTTCATGTTCCTCGGTACTTCGTAGTATATTTGTGGGATTTTACGAGCTATCGAGGGCTGTTTAAGGCAGCAACTGAACAAATATACGGAGAGAAGGCACAACACGTTTGTCTTTTAGTAAGAATCATGTACCGACGAATGCGCAAAAACATAATTTATTATAAACGAAGATGCATGGCACAAAGCTATCATCCTCAACAAAAGAAGAAATTCAAAAACTTCTCACGAATGAATAAAGGCATCGTGTGTTCTGATCACATCACTTGTCGTTATTCGAGGCACATGTTGTCGCCCGATGAGAAAATGATAGAGTATGATTGATGTAAAGATATGCATGATTGATTCGATTCAAACGCCGTCGTAATGTCCGCTCTTCAAACAGACATGATGGAGGTGCTTCAGCCGAATTTGCTGTTACCCTGAGGAAAGTGTTCGAGGAGGATCAGTTCCATCCCAAGCATACCGATATTCAGTGTCGCTGAATAAAAATGT